TAATAGTATAAGTGAAGCGGACATTACAAAATGATGAATGAGAATACATGTATCTAAATTGGTTGTTCCTAATCGATTTTCTTGAGACTATCATCAGGGAAAATCGTCTCACAATAGAGGCTATACGGAGAAACAAACTACTTATAGGTTATCGGATACTCACAGTTCCTCACTCTATCACATTCACCTGCTTCCACGCCTTCATTTCACTCACCTTTTGTAGTAGCTCACACCGTCAGAACACTCTCACATCTTTTCGTCTAATTTCTTTCGTCTTCTCTCCCACTTATTATTTTTTTTCACACCTCACCTTGTATTCTTCCCACTATCCGATAACCTTTAAGTAGTTTGTTTCTCCGTATAGCCTCTATTGTGAGACGATTTTCCCTGATGATAGTCTCAAGAAAATCGATTAGGAACAACCATTTTAGATACATGTATTCTCATTCATCATTTTGTAATGTCCGCTTCACTTATACTATTAATCGCATTAATGATGAAGACAGTTGACTTGGGTCAAATACTGATATGCCGCCAAAAGTCCACTTCTAGAGTCCTGTATGAGCGCTCGAGCACGTGAATCCGTTCGCGCGAAATCTGCAAGACTTTTGTGCAGTGCTGTTCAAACCTGGCGCGAGATACGCACAGAAATACGTTAGTACGATTTTCTTGACCTGGGTTGATTTCAACCCTCCCCCGAAGGGGGAGGGAGGGTTGAAATCAACCCGGGTCAAGCGCAATGCGTCATGTAAACGCGCCATTCATTTTGTGCACTCTCGTACATGGCGGGTTGAAATCTAACCCATGTTGAAATCTGACCCGGGTCAAACTCAACCCAGGTAGAAACGCCTCATGTAAACACAGCCTACGAACGAAGGAGAAGGAATACCTCATCCATCATTCACTCAGTGCTCCATTCAAACTACTAGTATCAGAGCATTCCGCCATTCACTCACAATAATTATAGTGTGTCTCGAAAGTGCAGGAAGGAGTTGAAAATAATTCAGGGTGGGGGACCCCCCAATAGGTGTTAGCCTTTCCCTGAATGAAGACTAGTTAGTACGAACAGAAAAGGAAGACTTTCAAACACCTCCATCCCAGAACGGGATCTCAGCTGCGGGACAAGAACAAAGTACTGCCGATATGTCCCCCGTTGGCCATCATCAGAAAAAAAGAGGAAAGGCTGAGCTCCATGCAGAATGAAAAAATTTGAAAATAGACTCAATGAGGCCTACACTGGCCCCTTGTTCGGAGCTCTGCAGCAAAACAGTATGTGCAGGGGAGAGAGAGCGAGAGAGAGCGAGAGAGAGAGAGAGAGAGAGAGAGAGAGAGAGAGAGAGAGAGAGAGAGAGAGAGCGAGAGAGAGCGAGAGAGAGCGAGAGAGAGAGCGAGAGAGAGAGCGAGAGAGAGCGAGAGAGAGAGCGAGAGAGAGAGAGAGAGAGAGAGAGAGAGAGAGAGAGAGAGAGAGAGAGAGAGAGAGAGAGAGAGAGAGAGGCAGAGCTGCTCATTACGATCTCATTATAGTATGCTGCTTTTCCGCATGCTCAACGATTTTCTCGCTGACTGTCAGGCCCTTGCGGCGGCGCACAGCGTTCATGTACAGTCCAGCCTGGTTCTCAGAGTCGGCTTTCTCTCCAAAATGTAGCAGCTCCTCTTCAGTGGTGGGCACCCAGAACGGATCGCCTGACATTGCCTAAAATTTAGGCAGTTGCACACGAACACACATACACAAACATGGTCATATTGACACACACACAGAAATTAGCACACGAAGAGACGAAACCAGTTGTACATCTGATGAGGCCTTACGTACCATTTCTTCCCAAATCAGTACATGACGATGATGTGACGAAGCACAACGATGTCAATTTAAACAGCACATTGGCGGTAAATTGACATCGTTGTGCTTCGTCACATCATCACCATGTACTGATTTGGGAAGTAAGGGGTCGTCCATAAATATCAAACTTTTTTCACAAAACGAAATAATTTCGTTATGGGGTGGGAGGGGGTTGACCAATTTCGTTTCAGAAAAAATTGATTCATGTACATGGCTGTTGTATATGCATGTATGTCAACATTTTTTACGCACTGAGGGGGAGGGAGGGAGGGGTTAAGTCTAAACTAAAATAATTCGTTTGGTGAAAACGTTCGATATTAGGGACCTTTCGCACCCCGCGTACGGATACGAAACGAATGCTGATTCGTCACCTGGGTTCGAGGATTCGTCAGAGTCCCTGCGGAGAACTCGTTTTCACGAACGGAAGCCTCTTCATTCGTGGCACGCTCCGAATCCGTCAGGTACACATTTATTTGGATAGGTACACATGTTTTGCAAGGTACACATTTTTGCCTTGATTCCATGATCCATGCACGTGTGCGTGTAAAAACCCGTATGCCAAGCTACCGGCGCCCGCGGCCGTATTCGTAGTTGCCATGCACATTTGCATGACGACTTGCGAAACCTGAAATCTGTTTTCAACGAAACGATTACGAGCCGAATCAAACTTTCGTTTCGCATTCGTTTCGTAGCAAATGCGAAAGGTCCCTATTAACGGACGGCCCCTAATGGTACGGAAGGCCTCATCAGATGTACAACTGGTTTCGTCTCTTCGTGTGCTAATATATTTCCTTCCGACTAAGACTTAACAATACATAAACATGATCATATTGACATTCGACTAGGGCTGAACGAACACAATTTCTCATTAATCGAACGTTCTCGATGCTATTTTAAACAAAGGAACAAACAAATATTCGTTTTCAGGTTAGTATGTAGATTACTCGTCATTTGGCCATGGTACGTGTATTACTTGTCACACAATTTGTACAGCGCCGTCTTCCTTTCTTTCTCTTTCACAAAAAGAACGGTCCCAAACCTGGGAGCACGCTGTTCGACCAAAGACCGGCTTGGACACGACAGAAAGTGTTGGAAACCACAAAAAAAGAAAGAAAAGTTCAGCAAACTTTTCATTATAAAATTTCAGTTTGAATATTCGTCACCTCGCGAATGTTCGTTCTGCGAAGCTAAACGAACGGATGTTCGAATATTCAGGATATTCGTTTCAGCCCTACATTCGACACACACCCAAACATGGTCATATTAACACATCTACACAACACACGGTCATACCGGTATCGACACACACACAAACACAAACACAATGTAGACAAACATCATGCGCAACATCGCGTGCAGATGATACGGACAAGGACATGTTAACGTGAGGAACCTAAACATGGATATCAACATACGAGTTCAAAAATAAAATTAATAAAATTATTCACTGCTTTGAGGGAAAGACCCAAACGGGAAAAGTCTGAAGAAAAAATTGACTGTCACCACCAGGACTCGAACCAAGGACCCTCGCCCGTAGCCATTATGGCAATAAAAGGAATCAACTGTGCACTCATTCTAAACACAGTCACACATATCAAGGTAAAGGTGATGGTAATTTCTAAGAACGTTATTTCGTGATAAAAATAATAAAATCTGCTTACCTCCCAGTGGCTAAAGAAGAGCTGCGGTCTCGCCGAGCCGCTTGTCTTCTTGCGAATTTCCGTGGCAAAGCCGAAGCTCTCGGCGACAGGCACCAGGGCACGCACACTGAACACGTTTGTGGAGCCCGGCCGAAGGTCCTCGAGCACCACCCGGCCACCGCGGCGTCGTAACACAGCGTAGACGCGACCAAGAACCTCTGATGTGGCCTGGGGCAAAAACAGAACACCATGGACGATTAGTGAAAATGCGTTAAAGGGGAAGTTCACCCTAAAATGAAAACTTTGTGAATCGTAGCAAAAATGCACTGATTCCAATGGTGAAGGTCCCGGGTTGATCGGAGCAGCCATTCCCGAGTTATAACAGCTTGACGTCTTCACTAAATCTGGTGACATCACGGCGACATTATTAACTGGCCCAGAATAGGCCAGATCTGTGACAGGATCTGTGACAGTATCTGTGACAGGATCTGTGACAGTATCTGTGACAGTATCTGCGACGTCAGAAAGATAAACTTTAAATTCCCGTGGAGGGGACACATCTTTGATCTAGTTAAAGACTCAGCGTGCGAAACAGGCACCGCATGGCCAGGGTGAACAGTTGGAACAAGGACAGGAAAGCTAGATCGACATGGACAGGTGTAATTCACCAAACTGTACATGCACAAGAAAAGAGGACAAAATGTCTAAAGGATAACAAGCGTGAGACATTTCGGTACGCCAGTCAAGCAAAAGAGAATACAGTTATCCAAATTTCCGGGCAAGACCATAAAATATGGCCAAGTAGTAACCGGAAGGGAGAGGGGAAAATAATCACACGCGGAAACAGAGTACCATAACCCAGCACGTAACAACCAACACACTTACGTGGATTTCGCACGAGTACATGGCCACCATGATACGTGCCGGCTGAGTGAGCATGGCTCGACGGCACGCTTCCTTCATGGCGGACATCAGTTGACCGGACAGCGGATCATATGTGGAGACGGCGCCCACGACAGGTAGCGGATGCTCGGCGCCATCTCTAGACACGCTGCTTTGGTCACGCTCTATCGCCGAGTCTTCGCCGGCTGTTGGAGCTCTGGACTCGTTGCTCGGTAACGACTGTGGCGATCTACGGTCAGTGTCCGTGCTGAGGCCGTTGCCATTAGATTTCACAGCACTACCACCACCAGTGTTGCATTCGCTCGCTGCCGACCAAGTCTCTAGGACAAAGCACACGCCTTGTACGGGTTCCTCGCACAGCGGCCCGGCTAGAGTCGCAAGCTGAAAGCCGTGCAGTATGCTATTCTGCAGCGGGCGAATCTCACTGTCAGCAACGCCATTGGCAGCGACAGCAGCAGCAGTTGTATCTTCCGTGTTCAAACATTTCCAAACCGACGGCCGCTTGTAGTCTTCCGCGCAGTTCAACAGATTGTTGGGACCGACTTGGCTGGGACCGAATGCAATAATCGACTCCAACGCAGTCTGCAATACGTCGTTTGATGACTGCTCCAACAGCATGCCGAGTTGACGCTTGAAATCTATGAGCTCCGCGATAGTGGCGTTCCTAAGACTAGAGCACTGGAGAGCGGTAGACTCTGTCGTCAACGATGACGATATGGCACCTGCTGTGAGCAGCGCAAACGCATGCAGCAAGTGCGCGTGCGCTTCCAGGTGAACGTTTAGTTGCTTGAACCATCCTTCTGTCCGCCCAATTTAGTCAATTATTTGCCAATGCTATTGACACTGCTGAGGCATGTGGTCTGGCACAATCCTTGTTGATACTTCAAAGTACTAGTGCTGAGCATGTCCACTTATGGCCGTCGGATCGTCGGATGACCGCTTGGCAGATTTGCACCATATCATAAGATTAGAGATCTTTGCAACCCAGGCACAAAGACTGCTTTCAAGTCGTACCGGCAGGTCAACGTGAACTTCTCCCACACAGGCACAAGGCTCGGATTGCACTTTCCCAATAGTTCCATGGCATATCGCACTGGGTCAACCGCATGCATTGTAATATGATTTACCACAGCTGCCTGACCGGGCTTGAGCATCACACAGAGCTCAGTTGATGCTTGAAATCCTGGCTTGGGCAGCGAAAGGTGGCAATGCTGTCATCGACGGAATCGGACGTGGACGAAATACCTGTACACACACACACACACACATGTGTACACAAACACACGCTCACACAGTACATACCTACACATGAAACTAATGTGTTCAGGCATGCAAGCATGCACACATGCATGTACCATGTACCATGTATACGCCCGTCGCAAGAGAAGCACGCAAATCTGCAAATGCACTGGATGTGCGCCCACAGATTTTCTCTTATAGCAACGATAGCGAACAAGATCTGAATGAGACAAATCAAGATGCATGTGCACACACACACACACACACACACACACACACACACACACACACACACACACACACACACACACATACACACACACACACACACATACACACACACCTTGAACCTTGAACGTGACCATTGCCGATGGCAATGATAGCGAAGGGACTATCTGCTAGCTTTGCAATACGGAGCGTGGCGCTTGAGATCCCCGGGACGACGGCAGACCTTTCCACATGTGCAGCGGAAACCAGAGTCAGGATCAGGGGGAGCACGGGCGGGAGGACGACGATGAACAATCTGCCTCCAGGCAGAGCGATCCTGGGCAGCATCAAACCAGCAGTCAGAAGGCACAGGGGGGATGATGGAGCGGAGATCATCCACGATTACGTCACGCCACCGCTTGCGTGGACCATGGCGAGGGCGCGTTGCAGGGAGCTCCCCAAACAAAACTCGCTTCGGCATACGGTCGTCGTTCATCCGGCCAACATGGCATGGCACACACACACACACACACACACACACACACACACACACACACACTTGTACTTGTACCCGCTCACTGCCAAAACTTGCCACGTGGATCTCCCTGGATGAGAGGACAGAGATTCAAATGGAATCATGGAAAAATGAATCAATTGGCTATTGAAGTGCCCAATGGTCCACAACCTCTGAAATCCCCAAACTCTGGGGGGGGGGGGGGGGGACTTGGCGATAATCCCATTTATGAGCTCACCACACCTCAGTAAAAGGGCGAGGATAAGGTGAAGAAAAAGTATTGACGGCACCAAGGCATCCTTCCCGGGATTCAACTGCATTTACCCCTGCCCCTAGTGAAGGCAATACTTCATACTACAGTAGTGTCGGTCGCCACAGTACTGGCGGGGCGGGGGCGGGGCGGGGCGGGGCAGGGGGGGGCGGGGCGGGGGCGGGCGGGGGGGGGCAGGGGGGGGGTAGCCTCCTAGCCTAGGCTGTTCTTATTTTCATGTACTACAGTCAATGCAGAGTTGAGTCAATGTGTATACATTGGTATGCTGTGCTTGCCAGGCGGGTGAAATTCTAGCCTGGTCGTTCTTTGGCGCTCCGTTCTTCGGCGCCCGACAGGTCTGTAGTGTGGGTGGCTAAATCAGAGTGGATCTGATAACGGCTTCACTAGCACCATTGATTAAATAAGAGTTAATCTAGCCAAAAGCAATGACCAATGGACTCACAGGCACACACTCACACACACACACACACACACACACACACACACACACACACACACACACACGCACGCACCCACCCACACACACACACACACATACACATACACACACGTGCACACAGAACCTCCGCTACATCTAACCTGTTGAGTGATGCTGGCATTGCGGACCACAAAGCCAGAAGAAGGCTATGATGGTCAATCTCCACCAGAGCTGAGGATGACCGTCGGGTAGAAGATGGGTTGTTCATGACAGAATCATGGTAACACCATCAAACTTCGGGCAGAACGCAAGGCAATAATGATTGTGATCAAAATGTAGATATTACTGATAAAATACTTCGAAGTAAATCTATGCAGCACAGTGATAAGATATCTAGATGTGTTGCCTGAGGATTGCGAGAGCATGAGACTTGAAGAAGTAGCAGCAAACAAGCCTTGATTGTCCTTGTTGTTCTGTATCTAGAGGTGATAAAATCATCTTCAAAAATAACGAACACACACACAGTGTAAAGCAGAATAACAGGCTGATTCACTTCGTCGAATTGTGTTTGCCTTGAGGGGCAGGAGAAAATGAAAAAAAACTAATATCATCACTACATGTTCAGCATGTAATATAGTGAGTGCTTCGTGCTATGCCTCAAGACGGACCTCTCTGTCTGTGTCGGTATGAGACACTACCGGTATACTGCAACTGGATATTTCCAAATTGTGTGCAAGCCAAAATATCAATGTCTTAAAAAACAAGGCATGCCTTCGGTTGTCACAAACTCACCGCACAGTGATCCACAGATCGATGCACAGAAGCAAGCCAAGGGTCTGTGAAACACTCGGCATTGCTAGCGAGCATAGAAATGGAGCTAAGCAGGACACGTGGGCATACACATGTAGCTAAGCTGAAATCAGTGATCTGTATCCATAGAGATCAGAGCAAAGGCAGCTCATGCCCATACACACACACACACACATACGCACGGCATGAATTCAAGCAGGATAATGTCAGCAAGAGGTCGGTCTACTCTGGGAAACCGAGAGCAACATACACACTACCCGATGGATGGAAGGCAAAGAGCCGTGTGCCATCACACCTCAACGGCCAAGCGATGTTGGGATCAAAGCTGGACAGACTGGGCCATTTGGTCCAAGTCCCCTTACTGTAATCAACACAGTGAAAGCATGAGACTGCTCTGCCATGGCGACGGTGTTGGGAGGAAATGATAACCTTGTCACCGACAGCAGTGATATGCACACCATCATGAGACTCAAGGTCAAACCCATCCAGCTGAGCATTTGACCATGACGACGCTGTGGCATCTGCGTTACTGATATCCAGCCTAGTCATGCACCACTGTGAAGTGCGATCCTTCACGGGCAGGGTGAAAACCGCAGTAGCATTGCTGGTAGAGCACTCTATTGCCCTGCGCACGTGCTGCTGCTGCGGCCACTCCTCCAAGGGCGTGACATGGTAGCTAGTGTCAAACGAGCAGCCCTGCAGTGTCCCGGAGTCCATCCAGTGGCATAGCAGCGTTGTACCTGCCGTTGACACACATAGCTTGTCGATGAGCACGGATTGCTCTTTGGCCTGCATGTAGGACTCGCAGTGCACTGTTCCGTCCACACGATTCAATCGTAAATCGACGACATAGATCGTGTCTGCCTCCCTGCTTAGTATGCAGTACATTCTCGACCCACGGAGGCAGAATGAGCTAATGGCTGAACTATCCGGAAGGCAGGATATGTCAACACATTCTATAGGAAACGCTGTGGATGATTGACTTCCAGCGGCGGATCCGATCAGCGACGACCGATACATTGCACGCCCTTTCTTGCTGTTGCAAAAATAGTATAGACATCCTTCATGCATGATATATGGCGCTGAAGAATCCCAGGTTATCGGCAGGTAGCCAGCAAGCCCCCACTACAACAGAAAAGAGAAATTGATAGAGTGACAGCAGGTTACTCATAGTCAACAGTCGCTACACGTGACCTGTGCGCTTGAATGCTACGCACAAACCCATTTCCCAAAAACACTGCGTTAGGTATGGACTAATGATATTGAGTGAAGTGACTCCCTGACGAAGTGCAATGACCGGTCAGCAAATAATTGCCACTGTATTATTTTCTAACTTTATATTATAGCACGCTACCAGGTCCATGCTGCACTTCGTGTTAAAGGGGAAGTTAAGGCAAAAATCAAAATTTCACCAGCTGTAGTCTTCGGGGTGCTGAGTCGAATGGTCGTGGTCCGAGGAAGCTGAGACGCTCCCTTCCTACTTCAATTCCAATCGAACTCGCGCACTTCCACCGAAACTGGGTGACTGCGCCCTACTAGATGGGGATTTGTATGCGAAATGTCACTAAAGACGCCATTTCGTTCTTATAAAAGCACGGATGACCGCGATTGGCCCATATGTTGTAGTCTTTTGGGCGCTGAGTCGACTGGCTTTGGTCCGAGAAAGCTGCGATGCAGCGTTCCTCCTTTATTCCCAATCGAACATGGTTGAACAAGCGGTCACGTGCTCCTGGGTGCCCAAATCACCTGGTCACCGCGCCAGCAGGCGACAACTTTCACACCAAGGTTCAACTCGAGTTCAACTCGAGTGACAGGACTGCACCCAAAAAAGGTCAAACAGGCTAGTAAGTTGTAACCTGCAGGCACCGTGACCAGGTGACTGGTGTACGCAGGAGCACGTGACTGCTTGTTCAACCATGTTCGATTGGGCAGAAAGGAGGAACGCTGCATCGCAGCCTTTTCGGACCAAAACCAGTCGACCCAGCGTCCAAAAGACTACAACATATGGGCCAATCGCGGTCATCCGTGCTTTTATAAGAACGAAATGGCGTCTTTAGTGACATTTTGCATACAAATCCCCATCTAGTAGGGCGCAGTCGCCCAGTTTCGGTGGAAGTGCGCGAGTTCGATTGGGATTAAAGTGGGAAGGGAGCGTCTCAGCTTCCTCGGACCAAGACCATTCGACCCAGGGGCTACATTCAGGATACATGTAGTTCTCTGATGTTCACCTAAGGGGAACGAGCGGGAAATACGAATAGTGAGTATTCAGGTCGTAGCATACATACACCTATTACATATGCGAGAGACTCAGAGTCACACAGCTAGTACTGTGTTCCAATCTGCCCGCAGTGCACAAAGAGGAGATTTTAAACTAGGTTCATATGGACATCACTACGGGCAGATAACTGGGGCCTCAGCTAGGCCAAAAGAGCACCCCGTTGATGAAAAGGGCTCCATCAAAATACATGGATACTTTCGGTGAAAATGCAAAGTCATTATTCTGCTTCCCCTGGCCAAATTCCTTCAGCAAAGGGTCTTTGTGCATACAAACATTCTCAGCTACTTGTACATACACGTATGTCACGGTGCTATTTTTAAGTTTCACCATGGCAACACACTGGAATAGAGAGACATGGTACTTTTGACTGAATTTACAATTTTGCAGCATCGAGTGTGACATTTTGGAGAAAGGTGTTGTTTTTTCACGGCTGAGCGTAGCGAAAGAGTGCAAAAAACGTATTTTTCACTCACAAAACATGTTCGTGCGTTTGCTCTTCTTCTGCGCAACTCCGTTGAACCTGCCATTGTGGTCTTCGTTTTTCCTCGTGGTAGTTGCAGTTATCGTGAGTGTGATTGTTCCGGTAGACAAGTACCCCATGTACTGAACAGTTGCTCTGTGAGTGAAAAGTGACCCTTTCTCATGCAACAGGTCAAAAGACTCGCAGCCCACTATCCATTCAGACATGACCAGGTGTACATGAATCTGCATAGAGATTTCCATCGCGGAGTCGAGGGAACACTACTTTCCGTAGTGTCTTGTACAAAAAACGTGTCTCATTTAGAAGCTAGCCTGTTTTGAATACAAGCCTGATGTTTTCAAGATGCACTGTCGGCACATAAGCCTGGTTTTAGTGTTGACATACATAGAAATGCCTGTCTTGTTTAGAAGCGTGTCTCATATAGAAGCCTGCAAAATGCCCCCCAAAAAGTCATATAAAAAGTTTTATACACGACTTTACGGTATTTTAAGGTCTGTGCATTATCCTAACGATCTACATGGCGAGACTCAAAACAGGGCTGTGTCCGCTAGTCTGACTGGGCTGGCTTTGGCCAGTTCATTTTAAAGTCAATAATTATGGAATGTTTCATGATGGAGAGGTTCTGCATTCCGATTTTGGAAATTTGTTGAACTACGTGACTCAGGAGTCGGCAGAGCAGTCTAACTTTCGGAAATGCTGAACAGAGGAAGCAGTCGAGTCGAAAGTTACTTTTCGGCGTCTTGTTGAATATCCCGCTCCATTTAGCTGCCGATGCCGTTCTATTTGCCTTTAGTAGCAACGTAGTAAGCAGCTAGCACAGGTTGTCATTATGGTGAGAAAACCTTTTCGTTTGAGGAACGACAAGCAAACCGTGAAATTCGAAACCTCCGAACTTGACTCGCGCCATTTGGAATTCATTTCGAAAATTCAATTTGCAGAACCTCTACCATGAAGCAGCCCTGGTGTAGCTATTTAATGGTTGTCAGGGTTCTAGCCAGGAAATCATTGTAGGGGGCAGGGGAAAACAAACAATTCGCCCATTTTTTTCCACCGGTTTCGCTATTGCCTTGTCACAAGAAAATGCAACCCACGGGTGCACAGAATACCCAGAATTTGTGGCTGTATTTTTCCTGTGTGAACAGGAAAACATACAAAAATCAAAATATAATTAGGGTGGTGCGGTATCGGAGAAGGGGGCATCAGAGAAGGGGGTGCTGCAAAATTGTAAAATCAGTCAAAAGCACCACCGTTTTCACTCTCGCTCCCTTTCTGATGACCCTCACGAGTCAGTTATCTAAACTTGTTTTGTTTCCTGTTCGATCCTCTTTAAAGTTGGATAGTGTATAGTTGAGGCACCAAACTAAAATAAATCAAAAACAAACGAAGAAAAAACCAAAAACTAGTTCTAATGGGTGTCCTATGTGGCCGTTGACAAATTGTACAAACACTTGGCCCAGTACTGTATGAGCTTGATTCAGCTACCGCTGTTCTAAATTTCAGTGTTCGAGCCGTACTTTCGGCTGGGGTAAATGAACCTTTCAAGTTTCAACGTCTTCATCCGCCATGCCGTGCACTCCTAGCTGACTAACGACTCACAACTGCCGTCTACCGACGCCTGCTGACTGCTAGTCCTGTGTTGAGAGAGAGTTTGTGAGGGTGGGACAAAGAGTGTGTTACTCGTCCTAGAGTGAATACTGGATGAAGAAGTTGAACTGCTTTTTCCCCTGTTCTCCATCATTATCATAATGGAAGTGTAACATTTGGCTGAGATGGCAACAAGATCATGGCAGATGCAAAATGTTTGTGCGTATGTGCATGTGTGTGTGTGGTGGTGGTGGGTGGTGGGTGGTGGTGGGGTACGGGTGCAGCATCCAGCTCGACAGCTTCTGATATCAAGCAAACACCGAGCTTTGGTCCATGTGGGTGTGGTAAACAAACTGCTTATCTTGCTCACTTATTCTCAGATCCAGTCAATCCCCCCCCCCCCCCCCCCCATTCAACTTCTTCCCCCACCCCCTTCAAAATGTGAAGCATCACTATACAATGCATGGTTCCGCTTACAATCACTCGTTTGCAGGGTTCCTTACATGTATGAAGACACTGAAGAGCAGCCTTTTATACTGGTTCATTGCTTCAAATTATTACGTCCCACACTTCAATGATGCACTCCATATTTTGCGTGATGCAGGCTATCAAGAAATGACACTACAGCCACAAACTCACCACTTCAGTAGACCTCGATTCGTGCCCTCCTGCTCTCTTGAACACCTGCGGCCATGTGACCTTAGCAGAAGGGGTATAGTCAGGTGGTGGACTTGAGGGAGGCATCAACTCACTGCTCTCTTTTGCAGAGGCTGCAATGGTAGCGGCAACGGGGGACGGCCTACAGGCAACATTCGTAAGCTGTGGATCGCAGTTCTTGGTTGGAGGCAAATCCACTGTGAGACTGACCGGGTTTGAGCTGTTTGGTGTTGGTAGGGTGCGGGGCGGAGTGTTTGGGGGTACTCTTGAAGTATGTCTAGGGCGGGGAATGGGCCGTGTGGGAAGAGCTGCACCATCGGTGGCACTGGTCTCTGGATATCTTCTAGCTGGACCTGGGGCTGAGGTCAATTCCTGCCCATCCGGGCCATCCTCTGCTAGTATAGAGGAACTTGCTGACTTAACGTCATGATCATGAGCGGTTGTCCTCGGTCTCGGAGAGTGCCTGGGTGCTGAAGCTTTTGCAAATTGGGCTGCTTGCTTATCTAAAGCAGAACTTAAAGCAGAACTATTTGAAATGATAGAGGTACTCGAATCTCCACGGGAAGACGGAAGAGACGTACCCATTGCCTTAGTGGCTGGAGCCACTTGCGGGTAACCTGCTTGGCCACTCATTCCTACCGAGGCATCTGAGGACAGAGAATGCGGGGAGTAGCTTCTAACAGCTGTTTTTCTGCTAGTTTCACGGTCCGGCTGATCAGCAGCTGCCTCGAACAGGCCGTCCTGGCCCAAACCTGGACCATCCAGAGGCATGTCTGCATCACTCTCCTCCTGAACACTTAGATCCAAGCCTGCAGGGCACACAAAAAACCAAGTGAGACACGTTCACAGAGTCTTTTGTATTTAAAATGAAGACGAAAAAGTATTCAACTGCTGGTGATGCGACTGATGGGAGCAGTTTTTGGTGCGGATGAGCTTAGCCGTTTGACGACCCACCTGCAATGGTTTGCAATTCTTATAAAATATAAATGCTATGAATGCACAAAATTTCTAAAGACGGTAAAAGCTGACAAACTATGCAGAAAGGATTTACGTCCATAAGCCAGACACAAAGTACATCTATCCCTGATCATTACCATTAGTATCACTTGCAGGGTCCCGTAGGTTAAAGACGACCGCTCCATCTACAGTTGATACTTCTAGGATATGCAGAGAAGCAAGTGTTTTAGGTCGATCTCTGCACAGCTCGTAGAGCTTTTGGTGAGCCTGGTGAGACATCTGTACCAGTACTGCCGTGCCACCGCTCTCTCCGTGTACAGTGCTTGCCGTTATGTTTGTGTCACCAAGGAGGGAACGAAGATTATTGCTAACTCTGTACACTGAGGTATCGCAGACCCAGTTGTCATACTGCACGTCAATGATAAGCTTGACCATGGAGGAGCTTTGGCCTGCGGGGACAAGAAGACACAGCACACGCACCCATGATCATGATGTACATGTGTGCACAAACAATCATATACACACACACGTACACATACACACACACATGTACACATACACACACACACACACACACACACATACACACACACGTACACATACACACACACACACACACACACACACACACACATGTACACACACACACACACATGTACACACACACATGTACACATACGCACACACACACACACACACACACACACACACACACACACACACACACACACACACACACACACGTACACATACGCATACACACACACACACACACACACACACACACACACACACGCACATACACACACACACACACACACACACACACACATGCACACACACACACGAATGTGCACAAGCATGCACAGAACAGAAAACAGGCACGTGCACATGCATAATTATGATGCAGACAGCCCCATGTACGTGAGTATACATATGACACCAAAGGTCTCCATGTATGATTTAGTACAGTGCGTATCAGTTATAGTGTGGTCGTGTAAAAGAATATACTGCCTACAAGAATGAACTCTCATATTTTCATAATCATCTCATTGGTTCCAAGTGAACATTTATTCTGACAAGCAATGTTATCGCATAGTAGAATATATCAGTCGAAAGAATGGACTTTGTGTAGCAAACCATGCCAGATTAGTGCTAAGTATAACGCCTGTAGTAATAACATCTGTCCGTTGCAGTTTTT